CTTTTGGGACCAGATATGTAATGTTATTTTAAAAATTCTTAAAGTGAATATTCAAAAAAAACCCAGAATTGTTTCTACTGGGTTTGATGGAGAAAGGATTGGAGAAATAATATGGACCTTTGCTTCTATATATGATCACAGCTGCAAGACTGTCATATGCGCAAAGATGGAAAGACTCACAAATACCTAGAGTGGAAGAGTGGACTATTAAATTAATGGATTTGGCTCAAATGGCAAAGCTAACAGCCTTAATAAGAGATAATACTGTTTCTAAATTTGTCTCCTCATGGCAACCTTTCCTAGATTATGTGCTTGGGATTTAATGATTAGATGGTTTGTGTTGATAGAAATAATGCGAATTAGGATTAAATAGTGGTAAGAGATTAACATTTTTTAAAATTTGTACTTATATCTGTATTGGAGATAGTCGGAAGACACGTTATATCTTTCTATTCGATCTCACTTGTTTAGTTTTTGTCTTTTTCTTTTAGTTCTATCTTCTCTCTTTTCTGTATTTTCTGATTTGTATTTTAATTGTACTTTTTATACACCTTAATGAAAAAAAAGATTTCTGAAAACAAGCCCTTCAAAAATGGGCCATAAACTGGGTGTCTCCATGCAAGGTAAGATGAAGGACATGCCTCAGTGCCGGAAAGCATGGTTGATGTAGAAACAAGCATTTTCTGGTCCAGAGGGAGGCCTCAGTATGAAATGAAATGAAATGAGCCATCTTCAAGAAGAGATCCATGACAACAGTATAGTTTCTAGATCCTTGACAGATGGTAGATTAGAAAAAAAAAATGAAACAGTATCCTAAGACCCTGAGGGGAGAAGAAGAGTTGCAACAGACCAGCTGATCTGGTTGGTAAATGCTTGGCACAGCAGTAGGTATGACAAGGAAAACACTCAGATATGAGACCACCAAGAATCCTGTAGTTTTAAATAAGCCAAAAGTCCAGCTGGCCTGCTATTGTAGCAGGGATTCAGTATCTCTTCCCTCAGGCAAGAAGAACAAACAGCTGGCTGTTGGGTGCAATTCTCCCTCCTGTTTCCAAGAAACGGGGAATGTTGATTTGGAAAGTCTTCAATACAAGCCTTGTTACTGAGTGCAAATGTTTGGTGAATCCAGGAGTGTGTCTCCCTGCCTCCAGAGTCTCCTCAGCTGAAGCAGTGGGGGGCGGGGGGGGGAACAAAGTTTTCTGGTGAGGTGCCTCAAAATGAACAAAGTATTCAGGGTCATGTGGAAAAGCATCAACCTGCTTGACCTACACCATAAGAACAGTGCTGCTACAATCTGCTCTAACATCTGTGGGCAGTTCCATTTGAAGTATTTTCGCAAATCCAAGAAACTGGAATGTCTATACATAATGTTTCTACAGCTACTAGTAGTTCTGCCTCAAGGGTGACAGGGAGAGGAGAGAGTTTACGTGACCGAGGAGGAAAACTGTGACAGCAACACCCAAACGTGGTAGACAATTCTGAGAGTGTGAGGTTTTCACAGTTAGGGCATGGTGATGGAGAGGGAGGAAGCACCCCCGTTCTGGCTGGTTGGAGTTAGAGAGGGGACAAACACGAAGTATTTCCAGAGATGTTTTGAGAGAGGAAGAAAGGAATGGAGGACAGGATGATGGAGAGTCAAGCTGAGAGCCAGGAGTTCTTACGCCAGTTATAAACACAACTACTCAGCTTCAAGGCCACCAAGCACTGGCCCAAGAGTCCATTAATTTATGGGAAGGGTAGAAAGAAAAAACTAAGGGTTTGAACTTCCATAGATACAAGAGTAACTGGCAAACTGGCGGTAGACAATCAAATATTTTGCTTGGCTCGGCTCTTGTCTGCAGTAATAATTCTTATCTAAATAAGCCATGTCTGTGAGATATCTGCCAATCAAGTAGCAGAGATCTATGATTTACTCCAGAGATTTGATCAGAGAAGTCTGGCAGCTGGAGGACAAATTCCAGGGAATGGCCCTTTGAAATTACATTTCCTATTCATTGATTTTAAATGATTTGCAACTAAATACGTGCAAAATCTAGGAGAAGGTTGCTTATTGCTCCATGGACTGCCTTGGCATCATACAGAGTTGTATGTCTTAGTGGACTTCAAAACATAAGCAGAGAAGGAGAAGAAACTTTGACTATAATTCTAGAATTTCTACTTCATCTTGATCTAGAATTATCTGGGAGGTTTCATCCTGAAAGGAATGAAAGGACTGAAGATCTAGACTTGTGTTCTCCATTCTGGATATGGATACAGCCTTAACAATCTGTTGTCTCAATGGGCACTGCATTCAAAGATTCACTGAAAACAGTTTCCACAAAGGAGGAACTTGCTAATCTGGCCTGGAAACATGGGTCTATCTCACAGTTCCTTAGCCAAATACAACTTCTAGTCACCGTATTAGCAGCCATTGTGCCAAACTGAACAGTATCGAGCAAAGAATCAGCCATAAGCGCTTTTGCATAAGAGATCTTTGCAAGTCCACTGGTTTAGGAAACAGACTATAGACTTGTTTTTTCTGCCCACACATAAGCCAATCTGAAGCTGATGCAACACAGGCTCTCCCTGGAGTCTTGAATCTTCTGCCTAAAGCAGAAGACTCCTAAAATCTAAAAGACCCTAGATAAAACTATTTTGGACTTCCTCCCCTTTCTGGAGGGATGACTGCAAGAGACACAAGAGCTGCCCGGAACATCTACCAATGGAACTTTGAAAGCTCCATGACTTTGTTACACAGGAAGTAGAACATTAGTCAGCCTACATATTCATTTGTTCTGAGCAAGCCTTGCCCATTTAGGTTTCAACACTTTTGTCAAATGATCCAGGAAAAGGGACATATCATTGCCCTAGTGAAGCCCCTTAACCCTTGGTCAAGCATCTGGATCATTTTTCGTCTCAGGTTTGCTTTGCACACATAAGGATTGTAACTCTCTGCAGCAGCGTTACAAGAAAATTGGCAGGGAAAAGGCAAGACTGATTAGAGATTTATTCTTTCCTCTTCTATGGCCACCAAATTGCCATGCAACTTTAGAATCAGAGTTGGTGAAGAGGACGTTCCCTTACTTTTTATAGATTTGTATTCTTTGGCTTGAGTCTGCTTCCAGGACTCTTCTGGTCCACCTTAGATTTCTTAGGTAGACTTTTAGACTTGCTAGGTGTAAAAGAAAAGGAGACCCACCACTCTTCTGGATTCAGAAGAAGAGCCTGGACTCTCTTCTTTTCCTTTTGTGCTTATTTGGGGGGTGAGATAGGCCTAGATTTACTATAAGCTTCCTGTACTTCTGAGTCTTCCTGGACAACTATATCCTTGACAGATCCCCTGAATTAGGCTTTGTCCTGGAATTTATCTGAGATGGCATTAAGAAGTCACTGACTACTTCCACCCCTTTTCTTATAACATGCTGTTTAAGAATATACCCTTCTCATGTTTTCTTCCCATGGGATGGTACTGAAGCTCTCCTCATTACTGCTGTCACCTTGCTCCATCAAGTCTGCAAGGATTAATGAGGTGTGATTCCATATCCAATAACTTCCCTGACAAGGAAGGAGAGGATAAAAGTGGTTTTGTATTTTCCCAGGTTCAGGAAGAGAAAATCACTGCCTCTGTGGATTTAATGCTGAGGTAACTGCCCATAAGAAATCCATGGAGGAATGGAAGCAGCTGCTTAGATTGGAGTTGTTTTTCTGTACAGCATAATCAGAGACCAGACCGGACTAGATTCCTGTCTCTAATTAAACAGATGAAGAATAGCCCATCAGACCCTCTCCTTGTGAGATACTCCCCTAACTGGATGTGTTAGATACAGAGAGAGAAGGGGACACTAAGTTAAAAAAAGGAAGAAAATAAATGATTCAAATGCTATTGTGCTCTTACAAGTTCCAGACCCAACTATTCTGTCCAATAGGCAGGGCTAGGCTAAAGATTCAGGATAACCCCTCTGTTGCAGAGAGGCAAGTTTATCAAGATAGAACAGTGTTTCTCAAACTTGGCAACTTTAAGATGTGTGGACTTCAACTCCCAGAATTCCCTAGCCCGCCAACTCCCAGAATTCCCTAGCCAGTAGAGATTGGCCCTACTGTCTGCTGCAGAGCCAGGTGTCATTCTCAAAAATGAAAATGCCCTCTGTGGGACTCTGAGGCACACAAATTAATGAGGTATGAGAAAAGACAAAAACCACTGCAATGAAAAGTCAGTTACATACTGACCTCAAAGCAGCAATGGGGAAATGTGAGTCCCCAACTCTCCCCAAATCCCTTTTTCTTCTCCCATTCTCATGATTTTAAATCATTCCAAATTTTCCACTTAAAAAAGCCCTGAGAACTGAAGAACAGGAGAGTGTTCATGATCCAAAGAAATTAAATTAAAGTCTCCAAATCTAAAACTTGTACCTTACATCAGAAGTGAAACTAATACTAAACAGGTGCTCACGACACAACATACAGTGCCTTGAAAAAGGCTTTTATATCACAATAAAATACTTCCTTTCCTCAGTAATGCGATATCTCCCACTGCTATCAGAGAAACAAAGAAAATCAATTTTTTTTCCTTATGACCTGGGTTGAAACCCACATTTTAGTTTGCTTCATTTAGCTACAATTTCTCCTATATGATTCTGAAGGTTTGAGATGAGTTACAGATATAAAGTACACACAATACTTTCTCAGAAGAAAGTTCTAAATAGCATCCTACCTACTAACCTCTACGTGTACACATACACACATACACGAAAATATTTCCAATTTATTAAAGAAAATAAAAAGACAGTGGAAATATTCAGGCTTAGTCCTCATTTTTTTTAATAGGAGGGAGCTGTACTTTTTAAGCCCAGCACCCTCCACTTTATAATCATAACAAGTATTATTTTCTACTGCTCTGTGGCAATTATTTTAGGTTAAAAGGTAATGTTTTCTGCTGTTCTTACCTGATCTGCCCTTCTTGTTCATGGATTTTCTCCTTAAGTTCCAAGTTCTCCTGGAGAATAGCCTGTGCTTTTAGCTCTGCTTGATGTTTAGAAATGGCAATTGTGCCAGAATCCTTCTCAAGTTCCTGGAATTTATGTTGCATAGAAGAAAGGAGAGAAGATTGGCGAGCATCATTCTCCTTATAGCCCCCAACTTCAGCCTTGAGTTCTTGGATAGACACTTCTTGTGAGGCTATTTTGGACTTAAGTTCTAGAATCTATAAATAAAAATAGGTAATGAAATAGAAGGGAGCTAAAATATTACTTGTCTTTTGTTTTCAAATACAGATTTAATAGCATGCATTCCATCTATTGCTCATGCGGTTAAATTTTCACTTACTTTAAACATTCTGTATTTGATTAAAGGGCACAGCTATCAGCGTGAGTAGACAATATATAGTAGATGGACAAATGATCTGAATGACTATTTTCTTATAAAAGTAGCTTTTCATATTAAATAAATTCTGACAGAAACCTTAGTGGAACACTAAGTTAAGTGAACCCTTTGTGAATCCACTCAAATCTTAAAACCTTTTTTCAGGAGTCATATTTTGAAAGCTCCCACAAAATCTGGGCCAGAAGAAAAGTATGTTATGAATGCTGGAATGCATTGGAGCACATAGGACTTCAATTTTTTTTATAAATGTTGCTGGGATTTACTATTATTGGGGAGAGTGGGTTTTCTGTTAGAGTGGTTCTTTTAATGTTATTTTTTATTGTTAGTCACTACAAACTTTGGAATGGGCAATAAATCAATTAATTAAATAATTAAGGTAGATACCGTAACTATCATGAATAAAAAGAAAGCCATCCTTGTAGCTTTTTGGAAGTTTGTAATTTTATTTTATTTTATTTTTTTGTTCATCCAGGCTTTATATATAATTAAATAACTCTATATCTGTGGTTATTTGAAGTTCCTTTGAATTTTATTTCTTCTTTAAGTTGCTTTTGATGATATATCTGGGTCTTCTGTTTTACTTGTTTTTATGTTTGACTGCTGTAAGCCACTGTAAATCACCCGAAGAATGTTGATTTATGGATGTTATACAATTTCTGTAAATAAACTAGAAAATCAGCCATTGTCATTTTTTAATATGCCAAAAGCCAGTATACAGTAAACCTTGGATTTAATGGGCCTCAAATTTAACAGACTTTGAATTTAAGAGACAAAATCTGCTCAACAGGAAAATACCATGCTGGGATATCAGTGGTGGCTACAGGGAGGGAGGGAAAGGAAGATGTTGGAAGATTTGGGGGCAGCGCTAGGGAATCTGACATAGCACATATTGTTTATGCAAATCACTGGAGTTTTCACAACAAAACCCTAATTACTTATACTGAGATCTCTCAAATTATTATTTCCATTGGTATATATTCTTTAGTGTTTCTTCCTTATTAAAATTATTTGAGTTTCAACCTTTGGCTCAACTCCTATAAGAAGCCCAGTTAAGTATACAGTCTCCCTATTATCTCCTGGAATATAGGTAGTCCTCACTTAACAACAGTAAAAGAGACCCGCAACTCTGTTGCTAAGCGATGCAGTCATAAAGCACGAAGTCACGTGACTGTACCCAATTAAGACAGCAGTTGTGAGAATTCCAGTTGCCGTCATTAAGTGAATCCCGCACGGTTGTTAGGCACAACTTCACATGATCACCATCTGCGACCTCCTACCAGCTTCTCCATTGACTTTGCTTGTCAGAAGCCAGCAGTGAAGGTCGCAAATGGCAATCATGTGACCACAGGATGCTGCGACTGTCATAATTGCAAGTCAGTTGCCCAAATTGCAATCACGTGACCATGGGGATGCTGCAACATCTGCAACTACAAGGACCAGTCGTAAGTCACCTCATTCAGTGCCAGTGTAATTTTGAACAGTCGCTGAATGAATGGTTATTAAATGAGGACTACCTGTATGCTCAATCCAAATTTCTGAGGGCATTGCTTCAGATCTCCTGGTGTGATCCAAATGCCATATTCTGATTGGAGGCTGGTCTTGCAAAGGTAGATATTCGTGCTTGGGTGATGATTTTTAATATTTGGTTAAAGTTGAATGAGCCTGTCCCCCTTCATCTCCTCTAAGAAAATCCATTCAGGCTACAAACAGACCCTACTGGAGAAAGCATGGATCCACTGTATTTTCAGATTTGTTGTGGTCTATAGGTTATAAGCAAGTCAAAGCACTTTATAATAGGAAGTCCTGGACATGGTATGGCAAAATGAGTTGAAATCCATTCCTAACAATGCTGGTCTTGCAATTTGAACCTGAAGGAGAGTTTGCAGCCAACCAAATCTCTCAGTTCTTTGAAGCTGCTTAAATATTGCAGAGCCTTCTCTCAGGCAGAAGTTGATATTCAATTTACTCTGCTAAAAGGAAGATATAAGAGGACTTCCTAAGAAGAATAGACTTGTTCTGTGGCTCAGGAGTGGTTGGATAATTGGACCCATCCTCTTATACTTCAAATATAATACTCATAATTGGAACTTTCTGGATCAGGGCCAAGAATCAGTGATAAGGATTGTTTTCATAAAACAAGATTAAAATGAAGTAAATATATAAATAACTATTATCAAACAAAGACCAGTTCAGAAGAGGATTTAAAAAGGGAACTTCAAACAAAAATATAACAAGTTGCTTGTATTTCACCACCTAAGCAATTAAACATTCTGGGCAATAAATGAAAATATTGTTTAAAGAAATTAACAGAATGGGCCAATATGGGAGTTGGAAAAGCTCGAAAACAAATAATAAATATTTGCCTTATGTTGAAGCATTATATTTTCTGTTTGAGATTTTGGGATCTACACTTAATATGTTAATACGATGAAATAGAAAAGAAAATTGCTTTTGACTCACACATTAATTAAATGGAACAGAGTCTGGCAAGAACAACTGCATCCATAATTCACAGTTAATGTCTCATGCAGTAAATCTAGGAATTAGTATCCCATTTCATGTGTATGTACACAGACAAAAATCATACAAACAACAAAAAAACCTAGACAATGAACCAACCCTTGATAGCATTTGTTCTTTCAAAAATAGTCCAAGTCTCTAAATTAAAACATATTTTCTTGTCAGTAACCAATGGACTGTCCATTCTCAAAAACAAAACAAACCTAAGAAACTTCAGAACTCTTTTCTTATGCAGTATTAATTATGTGATGGCTAGGATCCCATTCTCCAACATGATGGACACAGTAATGTGTCCCTCAGTTAGGCTACAGTTCCACGTATCTAGGTAGAAGGCCAAGAGAAGTTGTGAGACATAACTTGCATAAAATTGGGTTTAGGACAAGAACATTAAAATGTTTGTCTATCAGAAAAAGCCCAAATGGAAGAAAAGAAGAGTCAGCATTGAGACTGTACTAACACTCCAAACCAGAACAAATATATTTGGAAATATTACAAATTCAGGTTCTCCTCCTTCAGGTTCAAATTGCAAGACCAGCATTGTTAGGAATGGATTTCAACTCATTTTGCCATACCATGTCCAGGACTTCCTATTATAAAGTGCTTTGACTTGCTTATAACCTACAGACCACATTGTAAAGCTTCTGCTTCAGCCTGAAGGACTGGAAACTTGCATTAAGCGGATTACTGAAAATGCTGAATTCATTTCAGTGAATGCTTTAAAACACCGTTTTAATGTCTGCTGCTTAATGTTCCTATACTTCTCAGAGCAGGGTATCTTTCTGCCAAAATCTCAGTAACTAAAATAGAATATTCATTCACACATGCAAAAACAAATAATATTAATTTAGTTCTATCCACATGATTTCGGGATCATCCTGATTAATTTTTGAAATCGAGCTATCCCAGCTGTACTTTTTAAAAAATGTTGTATCTGGGTGTCCTAAAAAAGAAATTCCTCAGTAAAACCATTTATTTCACAATCCTCATATGCAACCCTTGCTCAGCCGTATGCCTCTATTAGCAGGGAAACTTGTTGGTGGCACATGCTCAAGCCCTCTCTCATTTCATCTTTCCCTGAGTACAGAAGACATAACAAAGAAAGACCCACTGCAAAGCTTCCATTGGGAAGAGGCTTGTGGAAGACTTTGGGAGAAGGGAAAAGCAATATAAAGAAATAGCATGGCAAAATACAGTTTATCAGAAGCAAGGAAGGGGAAGGAACTATAAACTTCAGAGGGGCAGAACGTGCAAGATATTTCCGAGTGTTACACAAGTCAAATTCAAAGCCCTTATGAGCAGGGGGAAATCAGTGGAGCATTATAAAAGAGGAACAAGAAGAAAATGTCCCACTCTAATCTGCGCTGACCAGGCTCCACTTGGAATGTGTCCAGTTCTGGGAACTGCAGTGTAAAAGGGTCATGGACAAACTGGAGCAGGTTTAGAGGGGCAACTGAAAATCCAGTCGTATGGAACTGTGTATTTTTTTAGAAGAGAAGACAAGGGGGGAGAAGATAAACCTTCAGATATCTAAAAGGTTGTCATGTAGAAGGAATGCTTTGGAGGGCAGGTCTATAACCAGTGGTTTGAGACTACAGGGAAGCAGATTCAGGCTAGTTACTAGGAGGAATTTCCTGACACCAAGAACTTTCAACCTGTGGATTAGGTTGCCTCATGAAGCCACTTGCCCAAAATACTTTAAAAGATCCTGCACCAAGCAGGGGAATGGATTAGCTGACCTCTCAGATCCTTTGTAAGTCTATGATTCTAAGAATCCTTGATGTAAAATTTGGAAGAAAAGAGCCACCTCTAAACATTGGCAGGATGGAATACAGAAGCTAAAATGCATAACTATTGTACAGAAGAAGTGAGCTTGAATTAAACATTTAATGGTACATACCATGCAGTAAACATACTCTAGAACATGTTTTTAATAAACACAGGAGAAGACACCTGTTTCAAAACATACCTCTGCTTGGGCACATTCGTACTTCACTAGGAGTGCAGCAAGCTCACTTCTGGCTGTTTCTGCTGCATTCCGATAATGGACTAGCTGTTCTCGAGTGTCAGGAACATCCAGTAGCAAATAATTATGAGTTCTCTGCTTTTAAAAAAAAGCCAAGAGTTAATGGCAAAGAATCAGAACTCTTCTTGTTTTATTGCTTTGCTCAGTTTTTTAAAGGGACTATTTAGATCAGTTTGGTTTTAAATTTGGATAACTTTAAATTTGATCTTCATTCCAGTCTGGGTGGGGAATGAAAACTGCCTTGGAAGATGACTTGGAAGGCGACTTGCATGGGACAATGGAGTGCAATGGATTTGATTTTTTATTGGCTTTTGATATTCTTGACCAATATTCCTTTTTGTGCAGTAATTCTAAATGGGATGATCATGGCTCTCATCCTTGCTAGAGTCCAGATTTTATGGAAAACTTCTGTTCTTCCTCATGGCCAATGAATTGTGAGATACTTCAGGAATCTATATGAACCTGTGGAACACAACCTGGAATTTGAGCTGATGATCTTTGGTATGACACACAACTTTTTCCTTTTTTTCCTTCAAGTACTCCCATACAGAGGGTAGAAAACTTGAGTGTCTGAAGACAAACAAGCTGAAGCTTTCTCCAGAAAGGATTGGGATACTGTAAGTAAGGTAAGCTGAGAGATAGGAATTGCCCTAAAATTGCTCACTGAGTTTCCCAGTTGAGTAGAGATTTGAGCCTGGATCTCATCAGTCCTAATCCAACGCTCTAACCATTAACAATCCCCGATTCAACCAACAGCTGCATCCAACATTAGAAAATATATAGACATACAGGGAAGCCATCTATAATTTGGCTATGACTATCATTACTACCTAGTTTATCCCTTTGTATATTTTTTAACACTGAAACTGAAGGAGATACCATTGTTTATGTATCCACCTTAAGTGATACTTCATTGGCTTGATTGTGGGAGTTAGTTCTTACACTGATAATATGGATGTCAGTTCTCAAAACTGTGATCAAGATGGAACCCCCAAAAGAGGGCTGTGTCCAACTCTCTGAAGAATGGGACAAGAACTTTGGTGCCTTAATGTTGCCTATATATAGCTGCCTTATTTGAAAGTAGAGTACTCTCTTGAATTATTGTTAACTTCTTCTTTTCTTGTGGAGTCCTTGGGGTTCTCTGAGCTTGGTTTTTTGCTTGCAAACGTTTCATTACCCAGCTAGGTAACGTCTTCAGTGCACCGAAGATGTTACCTAGCTGGGTAATGAACCGTTTGCAAAAAAAAAACCAAGTCAAGAGAACCCCAAGGACTCCACAGTTCAACCCTGCGCTACACATATTCACCTCTATTGGTTCTTCTTTTCTTCTAATATTATTAATCAGAATTCTTGGATTCTTCTTCCTTGAATTAACTGTTTTCAACACAGACCACAAGGGGGGAAGTTTGATTAGGCTGCAGCGTAATGGTTGAAATGCTCCAAAGTGAATACGTTAACATCCTCAGTTTTGGTCGTCACTAAGGTTGGAAGAATTATTTTACAGCAATACAATACATATAATGTATGTTCAAATCGGAATTGTACAGCCTGCTGCTGAGCTTTATTTCTTATTACTATGACTTATATTAGGGCTGTGCAGTGCTTCAGATCTGAAGGGAAAAAGGTGCTCTGGAGAGTACAGAGAAGGTCAGGGAGCACCTGACAGCAATTCGTTAGAGCAGCTGCATCTTTTTTCTTTGAATCAGAAACACTGCAACACCCTAATTTAAACAACTGCCCTGATTCTCTGAGTGATTCACAAAACAAATTCATCATAAAACTAAAGCACGGCTTCTTATAATTGCTGTTTTGGTTATTTATTGCCATTCAACTGTTCTTAAGTGAAAAAAAATATATATACTTTATTTTTCAGCTGCAATGGAACATATGGAAGATGGCTTATACTTCAAAATATGCAGCATATGTGCTTGGGCTGATCTGTTTTATGCTGATTGTAATCTGGATTTTGGCTAGTATTTCAATGTGTGTACCTTTCTCCCGCTTTACTCTTCAGTGTCAGAATCCTGAATATTGTTTCTGTTCCCTGAGAACAGCTGGCAGCACTTATCCCAAAAAGGCCAATTATCTTAAATAAAGCAAGGATTTATGAAAAGAGGAAAGTGAGAAGAATCAAAACTGTGTCTTCTAAATGAGTTTTTAAAATGATGTCTGGCCAGCTGTTACATTGTTTATTTGCCTAACATTCAGCTTAAAAATGTTTTCTGAGGAGAATTTGATTGATTTATTGATTTAACCTTAACAAGAAAGCATAAACAGCGCAACTACGACTGAACGTAGAAAGATGGGAAGGATTCATCTTTATGTGCTATTCAAATTGCACAAAAACTGCAGCACAAAGCTAAGAATTTCACTTGAAGGGGATTACTGCCCTTTGTTCAGATAAGTAAGTACTGTAAATAAATACATCAAACATGGATGAGAGCATAGGAGTGTGTATCGACTCAAGTGATTTCTAATCTTCCCTGGACGTTATTAACAAGCTTTTAACTACCGTGCTGATAATCACCTCCTCCAAGATGATTACACTGGCCTTGGTATTTAATTTATCAGCTCATCATAGCCAACAACAAATTACATGCAAGGGAAGATGTCCAGATCGCTGTGTGTCTCTTCTCCACTAGCCCATTTGATTTCTCTTGGTAGAAAGGACAGAAACCCCCCATTTCTGCTGTTACCCAGTTGGGAACGTAGCCTTTTAAAGTTCCAACTTCTAGCTGTAGAAGTTGGAAACTTAGCAGCATCACCCACCCTCCATAGCCAGGGTTCAATGAGGCAATTAGCCTTTTAGTCAGCTAGTACAAAAAGTGCACATTTTTACTGACAAGGTTAGATTGTGCAAATGTTACTGAATATGCATTGCCTGAATTTTGATAATGGCCTTTCAGGAAGGAGCATTGAAGAAACTGTTTCAATTTCATCACTTTACACCAAGTATCCCTTCAGGGGTGTAAATCTTCCAAGTAGCTCAAATCTATGACTAGTACTTCCCTGTCTTGACCGGGCCCCCTCCCTAATTACAGGAAACTGTTAATACTGCTGAGGGCCAAAGAGGAGAGAGCACCTTGATGTAACAATCACATCCATTCACATGTAAACTTTCTGAGAAAATGTCTAGGTTTTTTTGAAAGAATTATCGCATTTTTCTACCCATTAAGGGAAGGGCCTTAAATCAAATTTCAATTCAGTTCACAATTCATTCAAACCAGTGTTTGAAACACATGCTTAATATATTGTTCAATACACCGCCTTTATTTCTGTTCTGTTCTCTGGTTTTTAAGGCAAGATATAAGAAGTGACTACATTAGAAGCTTAACTCTGGTCTCTCCTTCTGCTGGCTGTTGTGCCACCTGCTGTTTAGAAAATTCACCATCTCTGATCATTGCTTCACTATAAATCTAAAAAACACAATCATTTTAAAATATCATAAAAAGGAAAGTAACAGAAAAAATATGCATACAAATATATATGCATATATTTTAAAATGTACATAAAAATTAAACTAATGCACCAAAATGAAACAATATAATGTTAAAGCCTTAGGAAATCAATAATAATCAAATGATACGCCTAAGGATAATAATATTTAATCTTTGTATAGCGCTGAAAGTTTCAATTCTTTAAAAAAACACTTTAAGTTATTAGTATGATTTGTATTGTGGTTTTATTCTATCTGCTTAGTTATCAATTTTCAATGAATAAAATCACTACTACTACAATACATGCTGATTAATATAAATATGGTGTGTATCAGTGCTATATGTGTTATTGTTCTGTCAATGTTTCTAAAGAAATATAAACTACATGTCTGGTACACATAGTTTTTCATAACACATGCATTTTGCACATAGCTTTAAATCTTCCCTAATACCTTTTTATGCTACTGTGCTTAATATATCCTTTTTTTTGTATTCAGCTTTAATACATAGTTCCCTCCCATTCCACCTCCAAATAATGATTTGAACATTTTTGAGCCAAGAGTAACAAATCTATGGTTTGTGCTGAAACAAAGTCTATATTGGTAGACCTACTTTTTCTTTTACATGACCCATTACAGTTTTTAAGGACCATCACATATGTAAGCCAGGGGTTGGCAATATAGCAGCAAAAGACATCTTGGTACATGTGTCCTTTTGAGATGGGACACTTGTCCTTTTGCTGGATACTACCATTTTTTAAAAAAGAAAAATAGGATTGAATTAAATGATCCAAATCTTGCAAGTTTATCAAATCAAATGAGATGTTGAGATTCCCATCTGAATCTTGTGAGATTTTGGACAAGAACTCTAAAATCCTGTGAAATGTTGGCAGTCAATTGAGATTTTGGCCATATAAAAAGTATGTTTATTTTGTGCCCACATTAGGGACCATCTACAGTATTCTGACAGACCACAAGTAGCCCCCGGACCATAGGGAACCAGTGGTGAAACGAATTCCATGCAGGCTTTCATTCTCTCACAGAAGTCCAAAGCAGAAGTGAGCTTCAAGATATTGTGCTTGGGGATATTTATTAGAAATGGTTCCAGAATGTTTTCTTGGCTTCACTCTTATGCCTTTAAGAGTCTTACAATAAGCAATCATATAGCACTTAGTTTCAATGACAATGCTGATAATGATTTGATGTTAGCTGTTTCTGAACGGATGACTGCAGGTAATATAATTCCAACAAGCAAGATTTTTCCAAAAATAACAAATGTTATTTCAACACATGAGATTCTTCCAAGTTTAGTCCTTGGAAAAATCCTCTTTGCTGAATGTTTTTCTTTTTTAAAGAACGAAAGGCAATGTGTGAAATGGCATTATAGTTTGGAAGGACAGAAATCTATGGAGAGATATAGTAAACGGTGTTAGGGTAAACTAGATTTAACCATATTTCATTTTCTTACCTCATGCCTTTAATTTCTGTGTTTTAATATTTGTTATTCCTTTTCTGAATTTTGTATAATATAGCTTATTATGCAAAAGGGAGTAGCATGATGTACAGTATACATGTTGAATTTCTGTTTAACATAAAGGAGTTAAAACTTCTAAGTGCACTGAAGGAATTGAATAAGTTACATTGTTGGCCTGATGTATGAAACAGCCAGCATGTTTTCCCCCAAAACTACAGAAAATAATTCGAGCATTACCTACTTAATAGCTGTTATCCATATTAACTGTTTTATTGTACTACTTCCAATGCCAGAATTACTTATCATCTTCTACAACATTCCTGCACAGGCATTATTACATCTGTCCTGGGCCTGTGGCAGCACGATACAAGCCAAGTCACATATAATCAGTTGAAGTTGTCCAATGCCTTTACAAGCTGAAACAAGGCCAAATAAATGAACTTGTTTCTCTATCTGGTATTTTATTTTTAAAATATGGAAGTTACCACTTTTATTATCAACATTCAAAATGTTCACAATATATGTTTTTCCTATAAAAACCTAGAGAAAAATGCAAGATTTATATAAAGGAAGTAAACTTTTCAACTATGTTGACTATCCCTATCCCACCTTTATTCAGAGCTATTCCTGTGTGAAGACCAGATATTGCAATATAGATGTTGTATTTACAACTAGTGGATCCATTATCCTACACATAACATCCTAATTTTAGGGCCCTGACCTGGAAGGATCCCATGAGAAAGCTATGCAAAAATCTTACTTTGTTTCTCTGAACTTTAGATCAAAGCCATGAGTGAATGAAAGATAAAGAGCAGAAAAGCAGAAATCTTAGATAAATGTACTCCCTTTTGCTATGTTTAATAAGAAACAGTTCAGTCCTTGAATGCTGAAAGATAAAACTGTACCTAAATATATTTGAAACTATAATTGTTAGAGCATTACACAAGGTACCACAGCTGTTGAAATAGTGTCTTATGCAATGAATGTTTAACCCAAAAGTATTGATGTGCAATTAAACTTTGAGGAGCAAGTCAGACAATTCCTTTTTCATCATTTCCAATACTTTCATTAAAACAGCTTTCCCCAACCTTGTATCGCCAGGTGCGTTGGACCTCAATTCCCATAAATCCCCAATCAATATGTCCAAAGGTCTCCTGACTGGAGAAAGCAGAATTTGGGAATACCATTATTGTCTAAATTATTGAAAATTAAATGAAGCAAATTATGCTAAATAGTAACTGAATAGATTCTTCATTCCTTCTTATGAATGGATAATGGGAAAGAAAATACAGTGGCTAGGCCCTAAGCTAGAAGTAAAGATCCTGGGGCCATATGTGGCCTCTGAATGGCTTGGCTATAGCTTGCAACCTTCAAAAATAGCTATGAGATTCTTTTTAACATGACAGAAAGGGGGAAATAAATAAATAAATGATTTGAGAATAATCATAACAATTCCAATTAATTCAAATGAAATCATATGTAGTTTTTCTCTTGGACTCACCAACTACTTTTTGGACCACCACACTCCTGCTCTAGACATTCTTGGAGCATGATATCTACTGCAAATGTCATCACTATTCCAACTATTTGTTGCGATAGTAATCTATCAATTCAGTATAAAAAATTTGTCCCTGGGATGAGGAGATTTCACCTACGCATCTGAAAACTTCTTTCTAGACCTCCACTTGCCACTTGAAAGCCTGAAATCCAACAGGTGTTGCTTTCCTCCTTAAAACTTGTTTTATTTTAAAAGTTGCATATAGTACTGTATGCTACCCAGAGGCATAATGGAGTTGGGCAGATTATAAATTTAATACAGTTAAATTCCTTCTTCACATAACAAGTGATACAACCTGGAGGTGCAATATGAAATCTGTATTATGTAAATATTTTCAATAATAATAAACATATAAGCTGTAGAACTAGAGTTTTTCCTATTACTTCAAAGCTGTTTGGATAAGACCAGTTATTTGCCAACAACAGAGTCCAACACCACTCTAAGTTTATTTAGAGTTAACTGAGATTTCATTGACTTCCCACTCATTTTGTATTTGTTGGCTGCTGGATACCTTAAATGATATATACTGATCTTTGACCAAAATAATGTTTGATATCTTGCCACCTTCTAGTTCAAGTCTTTCAATTTAGAACCTGATTTATTACTGAGGAAGCTCACTTTTCTTAAATGTATTTTTTATTTGAAATAAATATACGACATGATTGTGTATACTAAAATTTAAAATTAATACGTAGCACATCATTTCTTCATTTCTTGCTATAATGCCAGGAATCTCTGAAAAACCATTCTGGGTCTGCAGATTGAAGTTTGAGAAACATTCTTAGATCTGAGCAAGAATTCTTTCCTTGAGAGTTGCCAATATTGAGAAGCTTCTTGGGCCATAAGAAAATTAAGAGAAGATCAAGTTCAAAAAAATCAAAGAATGCTAAGGCTAGCTATTCTTTAAGGTTGGAAGGGATTGGGGAAAAATACAGAAACTTTATAGGTTTGACAAGGAATAATCAATCATAAAGAGTGTGCAGGTTTCTTCTCAAGAAAGAGGAATGTGAGTGGAAGGCTTATGAAAATGTTCAATCATCTGTTAACACAATGTGTAAATCAGTAAAATACAGCCTGGCATTGCAGCATCTTCCAGAGACTTCAAAGAAAAAAATATATCATGCTGCTCTACTGAGTCCAATGCAACACTGAACTAGCCGTATGAGTTTTCATGATCTTAAAGCAATAGACCAAATTAAATAATTATCACTGTATGCTAAAATATTGCCCACCCCCCATTTACTGGATAAAGCAGGTTTCCTCGTATGATTACCCTTCAAATGTTCCAGACTACAACTCCTATGATCCACCAGTCACCATGGATAATGGATGGTGGAACTTATGTTCAACACAACTTGCTCATTAATACAGCTCTTTTTTCCAGGCATATGTGCAATCCAGAAACCCTGACTTCAACTTGATGCCAACCTTTTTATCTGCCGAGGAATTTCAGTACGTCAGACTTCTGTTCTGCTGAATTGTGTGGCTTTTTAAAAAGGCTATTTATGCAACCATGTTCTATCATTCTGGCATGATTGATTACTGGTACTTGTGTAACTGTAGCAGTTAAGATTTATCATTAAGAGCTAGTTGTTTACTTGTAAGAATAAAAACTAAGTAGAACTTTGTCTATGTAATGTTACTCTCTTCAGAAATTACTTTTTTAAAACTATACTGATATTCTGGGCCATACGAACTAGTTGTTTACTTGTAAAAATAAAAACTAAGTAGGACTTTGTCTATGTAATGGTACACTCTCCAGGAATTACTTTTTTAAACTATACTGATATTCTGGGCCCCTAAAATCTGGGAAATAAGCCATGTGCTACTTTGTATCTCAACAAAACGTGGGATATACATTATATAAACAAATAAAGGTATGAGTTGCACGTTTTCCCCTAGCCGATTTCAAATAAACAAGTAAATAAGGAGGAAAGGGACACCAGTTGGATTTCTGGCTTTTGAGTGGCAACTGGAGATCCAGAACTTTGTGGGCTGCCGAGCAGCCTTGCGCTGCTCGATGCAAACCAATCGCTACATAGGATGGATTACCAATGGGCTTTCGGTCCACTGAATGTATATTAGAAAAGCTACATTCGGTCAAAGCAAACTGCAGATTTGGGCATCGGGAATGCAAGCCTGAGGATCGTACCTCCGCTTCTGAAGAGGTTGAGACGATGGCGGGAGGGCGCAGCAACGGCGCGTTGCTGGTCACGTCGATGAGTCTGGAGCAGGCAGAGCCCGCACGGGAACTGCTCGCGCTTTTCATGCTCGCGCGGACCTACCGGGCGCGAGGACCGGGCTGCTTCGCTTCAGCGTTCGGGGCGCTCCTTCGCGGAAAAGCCAGCCCGCGTGCGTCCCTAAGCGCCAGGCTTGCTTAGTTACCTGGGTTTCTATGTCAACGGCCCCGTTGATACACAGCTGGGGCTATCGATTGGAGAACACGCCCGCTCGGTCATTCTCGCGAGACGTATTCAAAGGCGCGTGGTCCTAATGTTTGGGTTTGTTAGGTGTTTGGATGAGTTTTTCCTCTATCCAGCTTTTGAAAATCCGCAGTCGTTCGTACGGCGGCCCATTTGGCAAATGCGACGTTGGGAGGCTTAATAACACATTAAAAATTACAGCAAATAATAGCAGCAAAACTTAAAAACCTAAAATGGGAAGGGAAGGTTCCTTTAGGAAACCGAGAAAGTTGATCAGGGACAGTTTTCACCATTCAAAAGTTGCATTTTTTAAAGAATGTGTTTTCCTAGACATTCTAGAGAATTGATTTGGTTTTTGCACAAAATGTTTATTTTTGCACCTTAACAGAACCGTCTGGTTTTAAACATAAAGCATATTGTATCTTTTTTGTAGAGGTGGGATTACTCTCCCCCTTTTTTAAAAATATAGATCTTTTAGGGGTACAGTACCCAGAACTGGGGCCCAACTTTTTTGAGCTACTGGGCCCTTTGTGATTTTGAGAGTGTTTATCAAGGGCTCACAAAAAATGCCTCTCAGAGTGGGCCTGGTCAATAAACCCATTTAATAAAAAGCCAAACTGATGAGTTTTATTTATTGCTTTATGGTCTGAAACCAAACGAGCTGGTGAAATTGTTCCTTGCCTTACCACCCCTCAAGTTCGCCCTGACCCCCATGTGTACATATAAAAAAAAGGCCATGAATGAAGTCCTTTGCTGTGCAGCATGCTAGCTTTCATTACTTTTTTTTTTTTTTTAAAGGCTCTTTAAAGGAAGGTGGGGCAGGGG